TATATGGAATTGGTATATGCCTTTACTTTTCACATAAATGTCTACTGTTAATAGCACTGATATGTTGCTGTTTTTTATATTGAAAATGGAAGCTGTTTCCCTAGAACAATGAGGAAAAAAATGGAAAACTACTTTGGAAGCAGTAAATGGCTCTGTGTGCTTATCTATTTCTTAGATATGTTTCTAGTGAGGGGGGATCCAGGTTAAAAAAGGTGCTTGTGGGGGACCCATATAAGCATGTATGACAATTTGTCAGTAATACTCCAACAACATAATATTTTGCAACTGACTGCAACAAGACCTTTAAGTTTTTTTTAAAGTCCAGGTAAGCAAAATTCTGAATTATTTTTCCAAAACCCCATTCAACACTACACCTGACTTTGCTCATTTGGGAGTTAAACTCTTGCTGATCGGCAGTTAAGCGGGCTCCTCTAAAAGGTGCTAGGATATTTCTTGTAATACCATATGCAGGGTCACCATATATAATGTATGGTTCCCCATTGGGCTTTCGAAACCTCTGTAGAATATGAATTAGACCACTTTCTCCAAGCATAAATGCATCATGCCTGCGTCCCTCTATGGGTCCAAATAGGTGGGCAATTAGACCATTTGGAGCATGCACAGACTGCAGTTTAAACAAATTTGGACAAATATTAATTTCTAAGATAACTAAACTAAACCTTGCGTGCCCCACCTTATAAAAATATATATAGCTACTTTTCTTAAATCTTCATCTGGTATAAGTTTTAAGACTATGAAAAATTTAATCAAAAGTTGGTACAATTTTTTTTAATTGATATCTTTCAATTCCCAACTTAAATGGTGTGGCCCCTGTCAAGATAAACAAGAAAGGGATTTTTTTTTGAGGGCAGAACTAGGGACTCTACTGTAGCTTTTTATTTTCAGGACCATATCTAATTTTATTCCTTCTGAATGTAGCTAGCATGCTGCAGATGGATAGCTGAATCACCCCGAGTGCCAGTTGGTTCCTGTAACTCGGGTACTACAATTAAATGCATTGAAAGCAGAACAAGGCTACTGTACCTGAAACTTCAGGCAATGGGTTCGCTTGTGGCCACTATACATGATACCCTGGTTTCNGGCCCTTATTGGAATGGCAAGTGAGTAATAGGCAAAGCTTTGCGAGTATACAATAGGCGTAAGCTTACTATCATAATGTAAAAGATTAATAAAAATGTGAATTATTGTTCCCACTTTTTGAAATCCAAATGGTGAAAATTGTTGTTCACTACCCAACCTCCCCCTATCTCTCTCTCTCTCTCTCTGAAAAATTGTGCACCCCCAAGTTTAATGACTTTATTTCTATCAACCTGTTATAAAGATGCTAATAGATACGTTTACACAGTTAGTTACTACACTTTTCGTAGATGAGAATGAGGGATTCTGTATGTGCCACCACTGTACAGACTGGCTCTGATTTTTCTTCCACTGTTTGATAAAAAAAAATATTGCCAATGTTTTATGCTTATGAGTTTTTGTTATTTGAATGGCTTGTTCCCGATTTAAATCTATACAGAGAGAAAGAACGCAGCATCCAGCTCATCAAGTGAAAATAGCAGTTCTGATGAGAGCTCAAAAGAGAACGAAGCCAGTGCCACCACAAGCAAACGTAAAACTCGTGATTATGTTGTATGCTTACCAGTTGTACACTTTTACCAGTTGCCTTTCTTTTACTGAAGAACATTTTAAATGCTCAATTGTTAAATCTTAGGTATACCTCTGTCAGCCTCATTTGACCTCCCCCCAATAAAAAATTGTTTATAGGCTCAGCAGCATGATGGCCATCTTAAATCCTTCTAACATTTTGCAATTCCACCATTCCATGTTTCAGCTGCTAAAGGCAAGAAAAACAAAATGAAAAAACGAGCATCGAAGCTGACAGCACTGGAAATGCTGGAAGAAAAAAACAAACAGAAGGCAGTTCTAAAGGAAAAGGAGCTGGAACAGAGAAGGCTTGAATTAGAGTTTCAGAAGAGACAGTATGAGGATGAGGCAAAAGAGAGAAAGGAGAGGCTCGACCAAGAGTTGGAAGAAAGAAGATTGTTATTTGCCCTCCTCAAGGACAAATTCTGATGTGTGTTTAATCAACACCATCTGTATTTTGACAAGTTTATTTATTTCTTGATGTACATTGTGTCCTAAAAATATCCATACCTCCCTTCCTCAGGGGTTTGAAAATTGATCCCCACCTCTCCAGAATTTCCACTTATTTTCACAGTGCATCATATTTGTTAAACATCTATCATGTGAAATATGTTATTGCTCTGTAATGAATCATGTAAAAGAATGAATGGGAAGAAGGACCAAAATGGATTCCAACCCCTTTGAGGTTCCAGTTACCTGTGGAGAGGGGATAGATAATTTCAGGAATCACAGTATGTGATTGTAAACAAATTGCTTTCTAAAATGGACCTTTTTTCAGAACAGTCTGCTTTAGATCAGCCAATCAAATTTTTCCCAGCGATTGGCTGAGTTAGAGCAGACTGCTCTGAAGAATGTTCTATTTAAGAATGGCATTTTCCATTTTATAATGGCACTTTGTTTGTAGCATTTATTCAATGCAAGTTTATTTACAAAAATTTGTTAACACTTGAGTTAGGCCAAAACATAAAGACCTTTACATCATATGGAATATAAATCATATATGGAATTGGTATATGTCTTTACTTTTCACATAAATGTCTACTGTTAACAGCACTGATATGTTTCTGTTTTTTATATTGAAAATGGAAGATGTTTCCCTAGAACAATGAGAAAAAAAATGGAAAACTACTTTGGAAGCAGTAAATGGCTCTGTGTGCTTATCTATTTCTTAGATATGTTTCTAGTGAGGCGGGACCCAGGTTAAAAAAGGTGCTTGTGGGGGACCCATATAAGCATGTATGACAATTTGTCAGTAATACTCCACCAACATAGTATTTTGCAACTGGCTGCAACAAGACCTTTAAGTTTTTTTTAAAATCCAGGTAAGCAAAATTCTGAATTATTTTTCCAAAACCCCATTCAACACTACACCTGACTTTGCTCATTTGGGAGTTAAACTCTTGCTGATCGGCAGTGAAGCGGGCTCCTCTAAAAGGTGCTAGGATATTTCTTGTAATGCCATATGCAGGGTTACCATATATAATGTATGGTTCCCCAATGGGCTTTCGAAACCTCTGTAGAATATGAATTAGACCACTTTCTCCAAGCATAAATGCATTATGCCTGCGTCCCTCTATGGGTCCAAATAGGTGGGCAATTAGACCATTTGGAGCATGCACAGACTGCAGTTTAAACAAATTTCGACAAATATTAATTTCTAAGTTAACTAAACTAAAGCTTGCGTGCCCCACCTTATAAAAATGCATATAGCTACTTTTCTTAAATCTTCATCTGGTATAAGTTTTAAGACTATGAAAAATTTAATCAAAAGTTGGTACAATTTTTTTTAATTGATATCTTTCAATTCCCAACTTAAATGGTGTGGCCCCTGTCAAGATAAACAAGAAAGGGGTTTTTTTTTTTTGAGGGCAGAACTAGGGACTCTACTGTAGCTTTTTATTTTCAGGACCATATCTAATTTTATTCCCTCTGAATGTAGCTAGCATGCTGCAGATGGATAGCTGAATCACCCCGAGTGCCAGTTGGTTCCTGTAACTCGGGTACTACAATTAAATGCATTGAAAGCAGAACAAGGCTACTGTACCTGAAACTTCAGGCAATGGGTTCGCTTGTGGCCACTATACATGATACCCTGGTTTCGGATTGGGCGACAAATGGGCCTTACCGTACCATCGATAGAACCCCAACATTGCGTTAAGGGATCCCCTTTGGCATGAATGGCCTCTGAAAAAATTTCCAGGTCTAGCCACAGAAGATCTAGTGATTCCAAAAGGTCCCGGTAACGATCATACAAGTGGTCTACTATCTGAAAAACAAATCTCATTTTTTGCAAAACGAAAATTTCCTGAAACAGCTTTTTAAATTCAATTACTTTGGTTGTGATAAAGCTTAATTCTGAAATGCTTCTCCCGAACACATCAGCTAAGTCGCACAAACGATTTGGGTAAACCAATCTTCTTAGAAGAATCATGAGCGCCTCCATGCCACTTGCGTGCGTTAGTTGTTGGCAGATGTGGAATCCTGGAATTTGCAAAGCATGTAACAGACGCTCCATGTCATCTTTATGGAATCTAGAATCAAATAAAACAAGCCCTTTATAATTTTTAGAGCTTCTGAATAAATAAAGATTTTTATGCCATTTGTTTTCTGATTTTTTGACTCTGTTTTCGTGGCCTGTACACCCCAAAGGTACTGGTTTTACGATTATCGGTAGCTTACCGAAACATGGTTTCACATTGGCAGTCTGTTGGGTCAGCAAGATTCAGACGTGGAGCAGATGGGGATGGCTCAGGAAACAATGCACAAACGAGTAAAAAGTCGAGATCATCCTCGTCACTTGAATCAGAACTATCATCCGAAGAAGAGTAGTCATATGGCATGACCGTAAGGAGGCTATCGACTTCACGCCTGTACAATAAACACCGCATTCAGATAACTCTAGAAAACGTGATTACATTTAGCATGATATCTGCTAAAACGAGTGAAAAATATTAGTTCTTCGCATGCATCATAGTTAGTAGAGGAACTATGCATGCATATATACCGTGAAGAAGCCGCCATTTTGGATTTTACCCGGAACTCATCTTTTCCCGCCAAAAGACGTCAACGCCATGCTAAATTCACTATTGGTGACGACGGCAAACGGATAACCTCAAACCGCTGGCAGCCGTTTGCCGTTTGCCGTAAACGCGATGCTAAAGGTCTCTAATAACATTTTGACTGCAAAAGCCGAACCAAGAAATTTAGTGTAGAACTGGACAAGGTCAGTTTACAAACTAAGCACGTCCGACAAGAAGATAAAAATTTAGAAAAATCATATCTCACGTAGTAAATACTTCAAAAAAGAACTTTGGTTAAAATACTTTGTATTAGTAAAATACCTTTTAAAAGGTGGAAAATTTAAGGTTTTACCTGACCCTGACTAGTCTATTACACAAGATAGTCTATTTCGATTTTGAATCTAAACCATCCAGATCTCGGTCATGCCACACAGGACGAATGTTCTTATTTCAGTGCCTTTAGGCAAAATCTAATGCAGTGTTTAACGTTGAGTAAGGCTTTAATGGTCTTTAATTGTCAAATGAAATATCCGAAAGCTAACTCTAACCTTTAATGAATCTTTAATTGAACATAAGTTTAACTTTAGTAGCGCAAATCTTTCAGTATCCTTTAAGTGGTTTCTTTTTTGGCACAAAAGAGGGTGTTTCATTAAAATACATTTAATTTGACTTAAAGGTGAGATTTAAATGAGTCTAGCTGTTCTGACATCTTTAATTCATGCATTAAAGAGTCTCTCATTGTATTCTGAACTGTCAACAGAAAATATATCACAAATCAGCCAACACTTGCACTGATGAGCTAGAGGAGCAAATTCTGTTCTACGTGCAGCAACGTGAGCTCACAATTCTTTCTGGGGTCGAAATATCTTATTGAAAGCGACGGTTTTTATTTTTGCATCTCCTTTAAAGGGCGCGTGGAGAGCGATGACAAGAAAGGAAATGTTTTCTGCGCGCGCTTTAATGGCTTCGAAACACGTTCAACTTTCGAAAGGCATAAGCGGAAACGTAACGGAAAGAAATTAACAGATACTTTCGAGGCGACTTCAAATTCCCGTGATTTGTTTCACGAAATTTCAAGTTCATCTGACTAGGTTAGTTCATTTGAATACAAAAAAAGTCATGTGTATGTATGTATACATATTTACATATATCTTTACGTCTTTTATTATTACATGAGAACATAACTGCTATCAAACGTTGCTTGAGACGATTAATATTGAAACTTCCTCGCACTCAATCCCTGAAGATTTTTTGAGGTCGGAGTTGTCTACTGCCTGTGAGCATGGACGCCCCATTGAGAAAGTACCTTCGTAGACTATTGCGGCAATGTTTTGTAATGTTTCTGGTTCATATTATTTGCCTTTGTTTTCTTTTGTCGTGTGACTATTTCGGCAATGTTTTGTAATGTTTCTGGTTCATATTATTTGCCTTTGTTTTCTTTTGTCGTGTGGCTTATTTCTTTCTCCGTGTTAAATGCAAGGCTTACAATCTTTCTCCTTTCCAGGAATATTGATTGAAAAGCCTGAGGTTTGAATCCTCACATGCATCCACCCAGAAGTTTGTCTTTCTGCTCTGCTATAAGAACGTTTGGTAGCGATGTTAAATAAATTGAGGTTTGAATCATCACAAAGGTCCACACAAATTTCTTCCTCTGCCCAGCTGATAGAGCAGATGTTCCTTATGAATATTGACCCAGCTCTTACTTTTTTTTGTCTTCCAGCTGATAAGGTGATGCGCAATTTTTCTGAGATAATTGATTTTTGACTGATATGATATAAACAATTAGTTCTCGTGGCCCCTCTCAAGTTAAGCTACAGTCACCATTCCGTTCTGCAAATGCCATAATTTTTTAATGTTGTTCAGTTAAAAAGCAGATACTCTCCAACCTGGCTTTAGTCTTTTTGTATTCCTTTGACTTTGAATGTCAAGGGTGCCGGAGAAAAGTAAATCCCCGCTTGAACACAGACACAGTCCTCTGGTGGTTACAGCCGAGAACCGACTTGTCTAGCCTCCGGGTTTGAGACCTATTTAACGGCTCAGTGCTCGTATCAATCAATGAAAATAAAAAAATCATAAAACATAAAAATAAAAACGATACGGATACATCATTGCCGAGGTACCAGAGGGTAAGAACAAAGTATGGGCAATCTGCACTGCACCTCTCCTCGAGACGCGAAAATAGACAAGCACTGAGAGGAGCGCACGAAACTCTCCTCACAGCTGGGATCACCTTCTCTAGGCTGACTGCAGGAGGTTCGAATCCTCGCAAGGGACACAGATTGCAATGGTTTTTCTTTCACTATCCTATAGATGATACCATTAGCTTTCTGTGATCCATCTTGTCTGCTGGGAATGAAATGTCTTCTTCTGAAACACTATCCTCAAGCTGAAAAAGAAGTGTGCTTGAACTAAATTTGCAATAGCTATAAACTGAAGCTAAACTCAAGTATTTGTTCCTGACAAAATTCCATGCAAGTGTGACGTAAATTTGACATTTGCTTTACATTTACCTTGCTCATTGAGCAAAGCTGTTCATTTGCTATAAATTTGCATTGGGATCTAACAAAAAAAGAAATAAAAACCCTTATTTAGTGGCCATTTGCCAGTTCCCTGAGGGTGGCCCATTTACTGGGTTCAACTGTATTCAGAATAAAATTTAATGTAAATGAAACTGGAATTAAATGTGATTGATCTATTTACCTTTGCTAGAAATCCGAGGGAAATAATAATTCAGGCCACAGGCCTGCCAATCATCCACTTAGAGGCTGATTACATGAGTCAGGCTGGCCTGCCCACATAATGCCATCCTAGCAAA